AAAAAAACTAGAGAACAACAGCACCAAGACCAACCACATCAAGAACACCAAGAGCAACTTGAGGAAAACCAGCAACCAAGTAATAATGAAATGCATGTAAACTCCAGTCCCTCAAACGGTCAGCAAGGAGACACCACAAAACATTACACCTGTGAGACCTGTGGAAATAGCTTCCTATCTAAGGCATTATTAACCGCTCATTTAAGAACCCATTTGAAGGCATTTAAATGCAGCGTCTGTGAAAAATCTTTCAAGCGAAAGGACGTCCTTGCTAAGCATGAAGTACTACATTCTGGCGAGAGACCGTTCAAATGCACAGGCTGTGACTCGTCGTTCAGGCAGAAAGCACATCTTGATAAGCACTTCAGAAATATCCATCTTAAAGTCACTGATGATTCTTTGAAGTGTGATATCTGTAATCGAGCTTTCAACTTACGATCAAATCTACGACGACATCAACGTGTTCACAGTGACGAGAAACCATTTAAGTGCAATTCGTGTGAAAAGTCATATAAAGATCCGTTTGCRTTGAAGAAACACCGATCAATCCATGAACACAATAATGGGAAGCCATTCCAGTGCAGCTCGTGTGACAAATGCTTTAGGCATTTGAATAGCTTGAAGAAGCACCAGTCAACCCATGACAACAATAACGGGAAGCTATTCAAGTGCAGCTCGTGTAATAATTGTTTTACGCATTTGAATGGCTTGAGGCAGCACCAGGCAACCCATGACAACAATAACGGGAAGCCATTCAAGTGCAGCTCGTGTAATAAATGCTTTACGCATCTGAATGTCTTGAAGCAACATGCAAGTCATTGCCAACAACAGCAACAAAAACATGAAAATCAAGGGCAACAGTGCAATACGAAGCCATTTATATGCACTGTTTGTGGTAAAGTTTTCACGAGAAAGGACGGCCTGGCCAGACATGAATTTGGACATTTGGGTGAGAGGCCATTCAAATGCACACTTTGTGATTCAGCGTTCAAGCAAAAACCACACCTAAAAAAGCATCTCGTAAACGTCCATCAGAAAGTAAAAGACGAGTCGTTAAAATGCACCATCTGTGATCGAGCATTCGAAACATGGTCTAATTTACATCAACATCAACGTATTCACGCTGAAGAGAAACCATTCAAGTGCAACTTTTGTGACAAATCATTTAAGCATTTAAATAGCTTGAGGACCCACCAGCCAATCCATCTATTTCAATGCAACTCATGTCATAATTTCTTCAACGATTTCAATCAATTAAGGCAACATCAAGCACTTGAATGTGAAGAAAAGCCTTTCGAATGCTCAGTTTGTAAGACGACTTTTGACACTAAAACTGAACTAGAAGACCACGTGACAACTCACCCCGATGAGAAGCCATTCAAGTGCACATATTGTGATAAAGCCTTTCCTTCCGAGACTAGATTGAAAGTGCATACTAGAACGCACACCGGTGAAAAGCCATTCAAGTGCACACTTTGCAACAGGTCTTTCGCCTTCGCTGGTAGTTTGTCAGAGCACAAACTTGTGCACGCTGACATTCGAAAATATAAATGCACATATTGTGATCGAACGTTTATCAACAAAGGCAATTGTCTTGTGCATCAACGAATCCACAGTAACGCCAAACCATTCAAATGTCAGTACTGTAACAAGGCCTTCAAGCATAGCAACAGTCTTAAAAGACATCACCCTCTGCATAATTGTGAGACGTGTGGAAAAGTGTTTAAACGTGTTGAATATGCAAAACGTCATAAACGAATTCACGACTTGAGGCGGATGTATAAGTGCTTTACTTGTGCTACGTTTTTCATGCATACAAATGCACGTCGGCGGCATATCGAAGCTCATCGTAAAGAAATTATAACATGCACTATATGCAAGCAAACATTCCATAGGAGAATATTACTTCATGATTGTACAGCAACCCGTGCGAAACAAGACAAGTGCCTGGTCTGCCTCGAAATGTTAAAAAATAGAGCAACATGCAGCATGTGTAAGCAAACATTTCAAAAAGGAAGTCAAGCAACTGATAGCGTTAACCGAGACAAATGCTCGGCTTGCATACAGAAGTTAATAAATAGCAGCCGTTCTACATGCACGATTTGTAAAAAGACATTCAAAAGAAGAAACCAACATGACGATAAATGCACGACATGCCTACACAAGTTAAGAAATATCAGCCGTCCTACATGCACGATTTGTAAAAAGACATTCAAAAAGAGAAGCCAAGATGTCGATAAATGCTCGGCATGCCTACAGAAGTTAAGAAATAACAGCCGTCCTACATGCACGATTTGTAAAAAGACATT